ATTTTATTTTAATTCCTTTTATAATAATCATTAAATCCTATCTCTCTAGTTTCCAAAGATTCAAACCGTTCATCAATTGGATTTTTATTTAGCAAGTTATGGCTAATTTACTACCAACTATTATGAAAATCGAGAAACAGGGGAAACATTGTGTGATATAAAAATGAATGGTTCTATAGTAGGGCTACAATTGTCCAAAATAAGTTTATATATATCAAATTAAATTTATGTCTGTCTTTTTCTAAATATTTGAACTGGATTTTTATGAGCAAGTTATGGTCAATTTACTATTGACTGTTGAGTGGAAACCAATTATGTGTGATGATAAAATGAATGGTTCAGCAGTGGGGTACAGTTGTTCAAATTAAGTGTATAACATATCAACTTAAAGCCCAATCTATCTAGTTTCTAAATATTAAAACCTCTCATCAATTAGATTTTTATTTACAAGTTATAGATAATTTACTACTAACTATTCAGTGGAAGTCGAAATGTGTGTGATGATGAAAGAAATAGTTTTGCAATGGGGCTAGAGTTTCCAAATTAAGTGTATAATATATCAATTAAAGCCTTGTTTGTCTAATTTCTAATTCAAACCACTTATCAATATGAGTTTTATTGGGCAAGTTATGGTCAATTTACTACTATTGTTCAGTGGAAATATAAATGTGCGTGACGATAAAATGAATGGTTTACCAAAGCTACATGGTTCAGCATCAAACATCGTTGATATTTGTAAAATAAATGAAATTAGTTTATATCTAACACCCTTTTCATATATATGTAGCAACATAAAAAGATATCAACAAAAAGGGATAGAACAATTATAATAAAACTACTACATATTTGTTTTCCTTTAAGGATAATAATGGTTCGACATATTATAAACGTTTACTAAAGCTACATGGTTCGGCCAACAACATCAGATGATATTTTGATACAAATAAAATTTGTTATATTCACCAACTCTGTTTTCGATAAATGTATGTAACATAAAAAAATTATCAACAAAAGAGATAGAACAAAACATTAAACTGCATATCTATTTGTTTTCCTTTGTCATCCCTAAAATTGAATTAGTTTTATGTGTGTATGATAAAATGAATGGTTCAACCGCAGCTCTATAGTTATCCAAATTCATCATATAATATATCAAATTAAAGCTCTATCTTTCTAATTTCCAAAGATTGAAGTCGCTCATCAATTGGAGTTTCATTGAGTAAGTTGTGGCAATTGTGTAATGCCCCACTTGAGGTACGTAGCTAATGTTTCTTCTTTTGCTCTTATTTGAGTTGTTTATTAGTATTATTGTTTGGTTGACCTTTGATTGTGATATGTTACACTTGCTTGAAATTGGTTGAAAATAGAAGAAGTTTAGTGTTCCAGGCTTCCCGGGGCAAGAGAATCTTGCCACCGATATGGTTGAAGCCCACGGGGAAGCTGCTGGACATTTCGCCACGGTGACAGAAGCTTCTTCGCCACGGCAACAGGCCGACCAAAATGTTTTTTAAGTTTTAGATATTTTCTTCCCTAAGGCATTTTGATCATTCTACCCCTAATTAGTAGGAAAAGTGGGGAGTAAATGTAAGGAAATTTCTTGGAGCATTTGTTAATATGGTGGTGTGTTATAATGAACAAAGGATATAGATGAATTCCCAAGGAAGAGTAAGGCCAAAATGGGAATGCTTGCATAAATTGCATTAAAAGAATTAAGTCATTGCAAACCCTTCATTCTTCTTCTCCATCGCCACTCTCCCTTCTTACTTCCTCTCAATTTCTCTTTCATTTGTTCAAGGATTTTTAGAGGGCTTTTGGAGTGTTTTGGGTAGAAAATCAATCAAGGCATCCTAAGTAAGATTCTGCTTTGGATGTGAAGCTTTGTGAGATTTTATGTATATTTGAATATTGAGGTCTTTTGGTTCATTTGTTTAAAAAATCAAGCAAACCAAAAGAAAGGAAGAGCTAATGAGATCTCTCCATAAAGGTAAGTAAATCCCAACCCAAGTTGAGATTTGAGAATTTTCTTGATTAGAGTTTTAATGCATATTATGTTGTTTATATACATGTTATATGCTATGTTATTGAGTTTTAAAGGAGATTATTATTGCTGTGGTTGTTCATATACTTCAATTGTGGAAGTGAGATATGGGTTGGAAATGTAGTTTAGATGGAATTGAAGATATTGAGAAATCCTTTTTAAAGTGCTATTTTTATGCAGGAATTATGGCTATGGGAGGGAGTTTTCTCCCATTTTGGATGGTTGAGAAAGATATAGAATATTGTTATAGTAGAGTTTTGTTATGCACTTGAGTTGTTTGATGAAATGCCTAATAGAGGTTTGAGTATGAGTAGTGAACCTTAATTCTTGCAATATTGCATGTTGCATTTCAAGTGCATTAGTGAGATGAACCACCCATAGGTATTAATTGTGCATTGAGAAGTGATTTAGAAAGAGTAGAAAACTTTGTGTATGCACTTGCTTAATGAGTAGAGAACTTTGTGAACCGAGCTACTCTAAGGGTAGAGTAAATGGAAAAGCATAAAATGGGTTGTGCTTTGTCTCATCACCCGACAGTTATTAGAAATTGGTTGATGCTTTGTGATCATCACCCGACAGTTATTAGAATGGGTTGATGCTTTGTGATCACATCCGACAGTTATTAGAAACGAGTTGATGCTTTTGTATTGTCACCCAAAGTCATGAGGAATGGGTAGGTGCTTTGTGTCTCCACCCGATAGTTACGAAAACCGGGTTGATGCTTTGTGATCATCACCCGACAGTTATTAGAAACGGTTGATGCTTTGTGATCGTCACCCGAAAGTCATGAGGAACGGGTAGGTGCTTTGTGGTCTCCCCCCGATAGTTACGAAAACTGGGTAGGTGCTCGTGATCCCCACTCGGTAGTCACTAAAGCGAGTTGGTGATGTGTGAACTCCACCGACAGTCATGAAGTGTGAGATGGTGCTGTGTGAATGCCATCCGGCCGTACCTCCGATAAATGACCATGACGTTTGTAGAAAACATAGAAAGAAAGTGTGAGGAAGAATTAAGAGAATACATACGGGGAAGACAGATAGAGGGTTTACTTACTGAGCATTTTTTTGTGCTCACCTTGTATTTTTTTTCCTTGTGGATGCAGGATCAGGTGATGATACAGTCGGAGGGGCGTCGGCAAGCGAGGAGCAATAGCTACACTGTTTCCCCTGTTTTTGTTTTTTTAAATGGCATTTTGTAATAATGCTCTTTGTGTATAAAAGACTATTACATATAATTAAAAAAAAAAAAAAGTTTTGGGCCCATTCTATTATTATTATGCTGCATTGTACTAGTTTACAGTAGTTGTTACAAATTGACTACTGATTATTCATGGAAATTGAGAAATAGGGAAAACCAAAATGTGTGTGATGATAAAAAGAATGGTTCGGAAGTGGGGCTACATTTATCCAATTAAGCGTATAATATATAAATGAAAGACCTATCTGTCTAGTTTATAAATATTCAAACATCATCGATTGGAGTTTTATTGACCAAGTTATGGTCATTTTATTACTGATTGTTCAGTGGAAACCTAAATGTGTAAGATATAAAAGGAATGGTTTACTAAAGCTACATGGTTTAGCATCAAACATCAGTTGATATTGTTAAATAAAGGAAATTAGTTATTCAGCAACAATCTCTTTTCATAATATGTGTATGTAACATAAAAAATATCACAAAAAGAGATAGAACAATTACAATTAAACTAAATATTATATTTTCTTTTCCTTTAAGGATAATAAAGGTTCGGCATATTAATAATGGTTTACTAAAGCTATATGGATCGGCAACAAACATTAGATGATATTTGTGATACAATAAAATTTGTTATATTCAGTAACAACCTGTTTTCGATAATATAATGTAACATAAAAAAATATCAACAAAAAGAGATAGAACATATAATTAAAACTGCATATCAATATTTGTTTCCTTTGTCATCACTAAATTGAATTAGTTTTATGTGTGTGTATATAAAATGAATGGTTCAGCCGCAGGTCTATAGTTTTCAAATTCATTGTAAAATATTAAAATTAAGTTCTATCTTTCTAGTTTCCAAAGATTAAAACCGCTTATCATTAGATTTTTATTGAGTAAGTTATGGCCAATTTACTACTAATTGTTCAGTGGAAATCGAGAAACATGAGAATCGAAATGTGTGTGATGATAAAGGAATGGTTTAAAAGTGGGGCACAGTTATCAAATTAAGTGTAAATAAACCAAATTAATCTTGTCTATCTAGTTCCTAATATTTAAACCTCTCATCAATGGGTTTTATTGAGCAAGTTATAGTCAATTTACTATGGATTGTTTAGTGGAAACCGAAATGTGTATAGTAATAAAAGATGGTTTTTCAGTGGGGCTACAGTTATCCAAATTAAGATTATAATTATCAAATAAATCCCTATCTATCTAGTTTCTAAAAATTCAAACCTCTTATCAATTGGAGTTTTATTAAGCAAGTTATAGTTCAATTTACTACTACTATTCAGTGGAAAATAAAATGTGTGATGATAAAAGGAATTATTTTCCAATGGGGCTACAATTATCCAAATTAAGCAATAATCATCATTTAATTGCTGTCTATTTAGTTTCTAAAGATGCAAACCTCTCATCAATTGGATTTTTATTGCAAGTTATGGTCAATTACTACTGACTTTTCAGTGGAAGCCGAAATGTGTGTGATTGAAAGGAATGGTTCGGCAGTGGGGCTACAGTTATTAAAATTAAGCGTATAATATATCAAATTAAAGCATTGACTGTCTAGTTTCTAAAGATTGAATCATTCTATCAATTGGATTTTTATTGAGCAAGTTACGGTCAATTTTTACTGTTATAATTACAGTAATATAAAATCCGGCACATGATTCAATTACTTAATGTACCGCATTCCATACATTCGGAACCGAAGTTAAATCTTATTTATATTAATTTAAATTTAATAATTTATCGGATAAGCATCTCAATTGTCATCCCTCTGAAATAAGATAGAGATTTTAATCAATGAAAAAATTCTATCTGAAAAAGAAAGCACTAAAATTCCCACTCACCTCACCGAATCTTGATCCACAAACATCCTTGTTCCCACAAAACACCCAAGTATCACACAAGCAAGGGCCATCATTGCCGGTGCACATGGCCTTACAAGCCTCACAACATTCTTTAGAACTATTAAACTTAAACTCAGACCCCCACTTCACAGCACTGCCCCAAAGCTCCAAATTCTCAATCCCTTGACAACACTCACCAAATTCACTACCTTTCACAGACGTTAAAGACTCGAGGTCCGCATTCAAAGAGGCGTCATTTGATTTGGTGATAAAAGAGAGGAATGTGTAGACTACAGCGCAGGAGATCAAGCCCCAGGAAAGGAGAATGAGAGAGGTGAAACGGGGGGCTTCAGGTTCGTTTGGTTTGCGACCCATTTAAGGTGGAATTGGTGTAAAGAGAAAAACCCAGATGGGGATTTGGATCTTTTGATGGGATGTTGACTGGTAATATACTGGATGGAAAGAATGTGAGGAAGAGTAATCATTGAAGACTATTGATGAAATATTATACAGATAGTTGACGGTTGGTGAGTGTCGTGAGTCAATGGCTATGGCAAGATGCTTCTTTCTCGTTATTTCTCTGAAGTTGACAGGAGGAGAGGAAACTAAACGAGGACGACGTCGTATTTTTGTTAATAGCATGCAGCCAAATTCATTTCTTGGTAATTGGAATTGAATTATGTCTTTGTTATTTTCTCGCTACCGAACACAAATATAAAAATAAATTAAAAAAATTAAAATTTACGTTATGCCTAAAAAATCAGGGTTGACATAGGCTCGCGTCAGCAAAGACCAATCAGAGTTCAAGAAGGTATTGTGTCGTCCAAGAACAAAAAGAGTAAGGTTGTCATCCGCTTGGCAAGTAAAGGCATGACGAGTGAGTGGCTAGGAGTCACCCACTTGTCAAAGTTCTGTGTGATTTAAGGATATCTTTCATGCAACCGACCAATGAGAAGCAGTGTAGGAACTGCACGGCACCTGCCCGCTGACAAACTCATAATCATTACCAAAAACCTCTTACTATAAATAGAGAGCTCCCCTCTATTTTTTGGGATTCTAGTCTTGATAACCAAAAAAAAAAAAACACTCTCTCTCCCTCTCTGTATTTATGCTCTCTTAGATCACTACATACGACCTGATTACACTCTTTCATAAATAAACAGACAGTGGACGTAGGATTCGCTTTGAGCATCTAAACCACTTTAAAAATCATCTCCCTTTTATTTGATTCATTTTTCAGTACACGTGTAATTTCTAAGTCCGCTTAGCACTTTGCACGTACGAATAGTTGGTGTCAAAATCCAGCATCAACAGTTTGGCACTAGAATGAGGGCTTGATTTAGTATCCGCTCTTCATCAGGAATCTCTGATCAATCGAATCTGTTCGCTAGCAAATGGCCTGTGGTTTCGAAACCGAGTGAGCTAGCCCCAACAACGAGGAAGTCCCCGGGTACAAGATGACACTTCTCTCAAAGTGCCCTTGATTCAGCATAATACCGCGGTGGACATTCCTTCGAGCACACGGTTCTACCCAGCTGTAATGGATTACTTGGAGAGGTTCAACAATACTCTCCAAACAGTTAATCGAAGGTTAGACCGTTTGGACCAGGTCTTACCACCCGAGTCCGACAAGGTGGTGCTACCACCAAAAAGGCCTGTAGGTCGGGTTAAAGCGTGGAAACGGGCGAAAGCCCATGCCATGCGCACTACAATGCGAAAAGGCAAAGGAAAGCAGGTGGCAGATAGTAGGCCGAATGGCTCTAAGGGACCAGCGAATACCAGTCGCGAAACAGGTAGAATACTTATGGCTTTGCGACTTGGCCACATGTTGCATCATGAACCGTCCCACGCCACATCTCATGGGAACCCCCACAAGAGTGTAAGGCAGGGAAACCCCCAACAACCACGAGTAGGTTCTGACCATTGCAGAGGCCAGGCTAATTCCCTCAACCTTTCATTGCCTTCACACGGCTCCAGTCAGCGTGTGTCAAGATATGTCGAAGCCTCTGGCTGAGGTAAGGAAGAGTTCGATTTGTGGTCTTTCCTCAACCGTAATCGTGAGGGTCGAACCCACATTGCAAAAAGTGATCCCTAGGTAGCTGCGTTACCTCAGATTGAGGAGTTACAGTAAGCTCTGGATCAGCTTAAAGCTCGGCAAAATGAGCGCGGGCAGGTCGCTGAGGCTTCTCCCTTTTCTCTGGCAGTATTAGTTTCCCCTCTCCTGTAGAGCTTTAGAAGGCCTGATATGCGAGCATTCGATGGGAATTTTGATCCCCAAGATCTCCTCTATGAGTTTAACGACCTCATGAAGCTTCACCAAGTTTCCAACTTGGTCAAATATCGCTGTTTTGCAGTGACCCTGACTGCCCACGCCAAACGCTGGTTTAGAACGCTTCCACCAGGATCTATTAACTCATTGCAATAGATGAGCTCATTATTCTTGAGACAATTCCAGGCGAATAGGAAGTTCTCAATGCCGTTGAGCTATCTAAGCAACATATGGCAGGAAAAGAATGAATCCCTCCAATCCTACATTGGCAGGTTCCACAGGGAGTTGCATAGGGTGGCTAATATACTTGAAAAATCTGTTCGGACTCTCATTATTGTGGGAGTTCGCCCGCAGACCGACCTGTGGAAAAAGCTACAATCCAAGGACGACATTTCCCTCACCTGCTTTCACGACCTTATGGAGAAGTACCTCCGAATAGAGAATTTTGTGGCTAATCTCAATCGCCACAACCCCTGTCCTTCGACCAGTGCTCCTAACCAGGGGGAGGCTAGTAGAAGAGTTGATTGCAGGTGGGCTAATGATGATCAGTGGAAAGGAAAGAAGCAGCGGTTTGAGCCCAAGAAATCCTATGTCTAGGTTCCTCATCGCAATCGCGATAAGAATCAATACACTTATCTGAACGCGTCAGTGTCAGCTATTCTAGACAAGTTAGAAGAGGTTAGCCTGCTCGGAGAGTTGCTACCCATGAACAATCCCTTTTCAGCAAGAAACATCAAGAAATATTACCGTTACCATCGAGATAATGGGCACCACACCGATGAGTGTTGGGCTCTCAAGCAAGTTGTTGAAGACCTCATTAAACAGGGGCATTTCAAGGAGTATGTTAATGATCCGACTCCCATTTGGCAGAAGGATTAAGAGGAACAGGGGAAGAAGCGTCGTGGTCGTAAGGGTCTTTACTGCATGGGGATCATTTTGGGAGGGGGAAAGGTACGCTCGGAAAGCTCATCATGACCCTGTGAGTGTGATGAGTACGGCATCGCGACCTGCTAAGATTCGCAGGGAATAAGAGATTACCTTCTCAGAGAAAGACGTGGTGCGATTGTATCATCTCTATGAAGATGCACTCGTCATCGCGCCTGAAATAGGTTGGTACGAAGTCCACAGAATGTTAGTGGACAATGGCATCGCTGTGAACATCCTATTTCAGCAAGCTTTTGAGAAAATGCAATTGGACGAGGCAGATGTAAGACCTACCTCTATCATTTTCAACGGTTTTACTGGAGATTATCTGATTCCGAAGGGAACAATTGCACTTCCTATCACTTTGGGTGAGACCAACGAAGTGACTAAGATGACAGAGTTCTTGGTAGTAAACTGTCTATCCGCTTTTAATGGCATTCTAGGATGAACTTTACTACGAAGCTTCAAGGCTGTCACCTCCATTTATCAAATGAAAATGAAGTTTCCCACTCCGATGGGGTGTGGGGAAATAAAAAGGTCTCAGAGCGAATCTCACGACTGCTATGTAAGGGCAATGCAGATGACATGCAAAGGGAAAAGGATGCTATTGGGCATTCCCGAGCAGGCAATGGCGATCAGCAAGATCAAGCCATAGCCAGGTCCAGCAGAAGATTGCATAGATCCTCGTGTTCAAGAGGAGCATTCCCACAGTGGGTCGATTGAGTCTCTGTCGAAGGTATCTGTTGATCAAAATGAGTTGACATGAGTATTGAGAATTTGGAGTAATCTCAGCCCACAGCTCGTTGCAGATTTAACGAGCTTTCTCAGACAGAATACCGATGTTTTTGCATGGACTCATGCTGATATGGTCGGGATCAGCCCGAACATAATATATCATGCACTTAACATCGACAGCATAATCAAGCCAATTCGCTGGAAGAGAAGAACCATGGACCCGGAGCGCTATGCTGCCCTTAAAGTTGAGATGGATAAGCTCTTCTTAAACGGGTTTATTCGGGAAGCTCATTGCCCGAGTTGGGTCGCCAATTCGATTTTGGTGAAGAAACCCAACAATAAGTGGCAAACTTGCATTGATTTCTCTGATCTCAACAAATCATATCTGAAGGATAGTTTCCGTTTGCCTAGGATCGATCAACTCATCGACGCCACCTCTGGGCACGAGCTGTTGAGCTTCATGGATGCCTACTAGGGGTATAATCAGATCCTAATGTATGAGCCTGATGAGGAACATACATTGTTCATCATAGATCAGGAGTTACACTGTTATAAAGACATGCCCTTCAGTCTGAAGAATGTTGGGGTAACCTACCAGCCGTTTGGTTAACCGCATGTTTTTCGAGCAGATCAGGAAATCAATAGAAGTCTATGTCGATGACATGCTGGTTAAGTCACATGTCGCTTCAGATCACATAACACATCTCGCTGAGATGTTCAATGTACTCTGAAGGTACAGAAGGAAGCTTAATCCTCTAAAGTGTTCTTTCGGAGTATCCTCAGGAAAATTCCTAGGGTATATGGTTAACCACCAGGGGATTAAAATCAACCTCGAAAAGATTCGAGCTCTCCTAGATATGACAAGTCCTGCAAATCGAAAGCAAGTTCAGAGCTTGAATGTGAAGATATCGGCTCTCAGTCGCTTCATATCGAGAGCAACAGATCGTTGCTTACTGTTCTTTAATATACTTAAGGCTAACAACAAGTTTGAATAGACTCCGGAATATGAGCGAGCCTTCCAAAGCATAAAAGAACATCTCAAAAAGCTGCCTCTTTTATCCAAGTCTTTTCCCAAGGAGATTTTATTTATCTACTTGTCTGTCTCCTAGTATGCGGTTAGCACAACTCTCATCCAGGAAGAGGGCAGAGTTCAGTGGCTAGTGTATTATACGAGCAAGTACCTTTTGGATTCCGAGACACGGTATCCAGGGATGGAATGATTAGCCTATGCCCTACTGATTGCTTCTAGGAAGCTACAACCTTATTTCCATGCCTATACTGTCTATGTTCTAACCAACTACCTACTCAGGCAAGTTCTTTAGAGGTCGGAGGCTTCGGGTAAGTTACTTAAATGTGCTATGGAATTAAGCCAATTCAATCTATATTACAGACCAAAGACAACAGTTAAAGGGCGTGATGTTGCTGATTTTATTTCAGAGTTCTCTTA